TGCTGCGCCTGCGCTGAATCTTCAGAACATTGTGGCCGTAGAAGCATCTCCTGACGTCTGTCCAGGAAATCTTCATTTTCCCTTGTGCAACTCAGTGTCGATACTCGTTTCTCCAGCCCTCGAACCTTCTCTTCCAATATTGAGACCAGCTTTCACTTTGTACAGACAAAGTCGCTTCTGTCCTGTGGAAGAAAGACAAACATGGCACAACCTGTACAGGTTTCAACAGCTGATCGCTTACCTTCCATATCACCGTCCTCTTAAGAGCTTCCTCAACTGTTGCAGGAACTACTCAGAGAAACCTGCAGATGAAAGCCTCAATGAGCTCTCCCCAGGCAAACTCCCAGGCAAACTCCCTCTGTTAGCCTCTGCTGTTTGCCGCTCAGCTGGTTCGCTGCTGACTGCCCTTATATACCAGTCAGGCCCACTCAAGGCCCACCTGGAACAAAGTACTCCCAATTCACACTTTTCAAACAAACAAGCAAGCAATCAAGCACACAGTCAAACTGACCAACTGTCCCAGCAGGAGACACTCAGATACTCACCAACACAGCCCCCTAATGCAGCGCTTAGCGTACCTCCTCTCGGACAGCTCCCAGGCAAACTCCCTCTGTTAGCCTCTGCTGTTCGCTGCCGTAGTGCAGACACAGCCTATGCACCCTACCAGGTTATTCATTGTTTGACACTTCCACACCTCTGGAGTTCAGACTGGAAAACTGGGTTTGCCCCAGGTGGCAGAGCCATTGTGAAAGGGGGATTGTGGAAAGATGTCTCACCAACATGCATGCCCCCTTATGGCTTGTGTGTTGTTGCAGGGCCCTTTCCTCAGTCACCTCCACCAGACACCTTTCAGGCCTATTAGTGGTCCATTCATTTTGTGACTTGACCCACTCTCCAGGGCACTTTCTGTCCCATCCTTGCAGGCGTAAAACAAAGAGTCCAGCAAAATACAAAGAAACAAATTATTCTGCCCTTCCTGGGTCCAGTCCTTAGCAAACTCTTCATCATCTCTCCAGGCTGTGGAAAATTATGTCCTGATCTACTAGAGAGTGCTTCCCCACAGGGCTTTATTTCTGGAGGCCCAGCTCCTCCAAAGTCGCTGACCCTCAGGGATGCTCCCTAGAATCCTTCTCTCAGGCATGCTTCAGGAGTCTCTTCACCCCTGTTGCCCTTCCCCCTTCAGGGCCAATGCCAGGGTACAAACTCCCTCTGTAGTCTTTACTGCTGCTGGCCTCTCTGACAGAGCTCCCATTTCAGGAGAGAACACCAAGCCCTATTCTCTCCCCCAGTCTCCTTCCCTAGGAGAGACGATCATTATTCCTAGCCACTCACTCTCTTCCCTCTTATTGCCCTGAAGTCCTTCCTTTATATTAGCCAGCCCCCCACTGGGTCTCATCTTTAATTAAGCCTGCCACATACTTCAGGTACCATCAGGTGAACTAATTGTGCTCTCCAGCACCCCTTAATCTAGGTTGGGATTTATTCATCCCATCACAGCAAGTGCATCATTTGAATGTATGATCATGAAAGTTTAATGACCCTTTGTTGTTAGCCCTGCACTACCTCCACTTGGAATGTTAGTCCAGGGTGGGTGTAAAAAGACAGCAGTAAGGCAAAGACCAGCTTTACAGTCAAAATAAAGTGTACAATCTGACACAGACAAGCATGGAGAATTCCCAGTATCCACCAGCAGTCATAAGATGTACATGGAATGATTTCCGCCAAATGGTCACACAGACCTTTTTTACCTTTTTCCATTTTGCCACTGAAAAAATGGATAAAGGGGACAAAAAGGAAGGGTTGGAGGAAATAACTCTAAAATCTTTTATAAAAAATCTGATTTCATTAAAATATTTTTTTAAGAAAATATTTTAATCGTTTTGGTGAAAACTTATTTTGCAAAATAAAGCCTTTTTTACATTAAAATGATTTTTTTTATTTTCATTTTTCTCTATTAGTAAGGTTAAATTCAACTTTGATTACCTTTGAGCAACTTAAGATACAGATATTTAGGCACCTAATGGATCTCTCAATAGTATCTAGATGCCTAACTCTCATTGGTTGCAATGGAACCATAGAGTCTCTCCGTTTAATTTTGTCCTAAATAAATTGGCTCACAGTGTCTGCATTCTTGTGCAAAGCACAAATTTACTTAACCCCTTTCTCAGGCCCTCTTTTACCTCCCAGTTTCTCAGGCTGTAGATGAGGGGATTAAGCAAGAGAGACAGGACGGTATAGAAGACAGAGAACACTTTGTTCAGGTCCCTCAGGGTATCATTTTTAGGTAAGACATACACAATTGTTAGAGTCCCATAGAAAGCTATCACCACCATGAGGTGAGAGGAGCAGGTAGAGAAGGCCTTTTGCTTCCCAGTGGCAGATGAGATTCTCAGGATGATGGCTATAATAGCAACATACGATAAAACAGTTAGTATAAATGGGGAGAGAGTGAAAATCAAGGCGAATATGAAAGCTGTAAGTTCCATTAGGTGGGTATCAGTTCTGGCAAGTTTTAACACAGGGGTGAGATCACAGAAGAAATGGTCAATTTCACTGGGGCCACAGAAAGTTAATTGTGACACCAACAATACTATTATGCTTATAGCTAGAAATGCACTTATCCAAGAGCCGGCTGCAAGCAGGAGACAGAACCTGCTATTCATAAGGTTTGCATAGTGCAGGGGTTTACATATTGCTAAATACCGATCATAAGACATGGCTGCCAGGAGGTAACATTCTGTAACTCCCAGAGAACCAAAAAGAAATACATTTGTACCATGCAGCCCCTAAAAGAAATAGTTTTGTCATTAGTTAGGAGACTGGCCAGCATCCTGGGCAGGATGGTGGAGGTGTAGGAGATCTCCAAGCAGGAAAAGTTCCCAAGGAAGAAGTACATGGGGGTGTGAAGTTGCTGATCACCCACAACTAGAGCAAAGATGAGGAAGTTCCCAGCCATTGTCACAAAGTAGCTAATCAAAAACAGCAGGAAGAGAGGGATCTGCAGTTCAGGGAGATTTCTGAATCCCAGGAGGATGAATTTTGTGATGGTGGTTTGATTTTCCCACTCTGTGTTTTCTATTGATTGCATCTAAGGGAGAGAAAACTTGGCAATTTTAACTGAACAAGATAACTTAAATTTGTAACTAATATCTTATATTTAATTTTAGTGTTATGATATTCCCTTCTCTCTGCTATTTAGTTGCCCAACAGCTGGGTCTAGAATCCTAATCAGGAAAATGATTTGCCCTCTCTCCCCAGCCACGGCAGTCCCCAAACTGGGGCTGGGAAGAAGGGGAGTTGCCTCCACTGCAGCAGCCACCGAACTGGGACTGGGAAGGAGGAGGGGTCTCTTCCCCGCCAGAGCAGCCACAGAGCTGAGGTTGGGAAGGAGGGCCATCTCTCCCCAGCAGCCGCAGCCCTGGAACTGGGGAAAGCTGCCTCTTTCTCTGGCTGCCACAGCCCTGCACGTCCCAAATTCCCCTCATCCCCTCTTCTCATCCCACTGCCCCCTCCCACCCCCTCCCTATTTCTCCCAAGGCCACCACCTCATATGTGTGTCTTCTCCAGGGTCCAGGCACATAATTAATGGAGCCACGCCTGCACAGCTCCACTAATTAGGTGGGTGGCCCTTCATTCTCTTGTGTGCGACTGCCCAGGCATGAACCTTAGAGGGAAATATCCACAGACCACCTGAAATGGAACTTGCAGACCACTGGTGGTCCATGGACCACAGTTTGGGAACCTGTTTTAGAACATCCAATCTTGATTTAAAAATTGCCAGTGATGGAGAGAGAATCAACTACGGATCTTGGTAAATTGTTCCAATCGTTAATTACATTCACTATTAAAAATGTACGCCTTATTTCCAATCTGAATTTGTCTATTTCCAACTTCCCACCATTGGATGGTGTTAGACCTCAGTCTGCTAGATTGAAGAGACCATTATTAAATATTTGTTCCCCTTGTAGATACTTATAAATTGTAATCGTGTCACCCCTTCACCTTCTATTTGTTAAGGTAAATAGATTGATCTCCTTGAGCTTTTCACAATAAGGTGTGTTTTCTAATCCTTTAATCATTCTTGTGGCTCTTCTCTGAACCCTCTCCAATTTATCAATATTCTTCTGAAATTATGGGCATCAGAACTTGATACAATTTTCTGGCAGCGGTCACACCAGTGGCCTATATAGTGGTAAAATAACCACTCTACTCCTACTTGGCATTCCCCGTTCATGCATCCTAGGATTGCATTAGCTCCGGGGATGCATAAATAATCCCACCCTCACTTTTCAATATGCAATTCTCCCTGACTGTATGATCGGTTGTTTTACACCATAAATCATGAAGTTTAACACATCCCCCACAGTGGTGAGAGCTAGATGCTTCCAATGAAGGAACAAGAGACTCTAATTTACACCAGTGTGAGTGAGAGGAAAATGAACCCAATTGACTCCAGTGGAGTTACTCCTGATTTACACCTCATGAGTGAGAAAAGATTCAGCTCACTTGCTTCTAATGAGTCATTACAAAATAAGGCATGGCTCCAAAGGGTTTAGACACAGTTTTTAATGCACATATTTTTCCTTCAGTTTAAGTCAAGGACATTGATCTCTGTCATGAATTTTCATGACAAGATGAGTGATGTAATATCTTTTATTGGACCAACTTCTTCAGCTCTGTGTAAGCGCGAAAGCTTGTCTTTCTGACCAATAGAAGTTGATCCAATAAAATGTATTATCTCACCCACCTTGTCCCTCTAATATCCTGGCTACAACAACACTGCATACATTAGTTTTTTATGACAGCTACAGCTGATTTATATGAAGGAGTCAGAGGACAGGCCGACGTGTTATTTTTTTTCTGCCTCTTTACACACCTAAATACCTTTGGACATCTGGACCTCATTGAAATTCAAGGGGAATTGGATGCCTAATTTCTTTTGTCATCTTTGGAAATCCCAGTATGGACTCTGGTGGATGCTGAAATATGGGAGTGATAAAAAGGTTACCGGGGGGAGGGGGGGAGGGAGGCAGGGATAGCTCAGTTGTTTGAACATTGGCTTCCAAAACCCAGGGTTGTGAGTTCAATCCTTGAGGGGGCCACTTGGGGATCTGGGGCAAAATTAGTACTTGGCCCTGCTAGTGAAGGCAAGGGGCTAGACTTGATGACCTTTCAAGATCCCTTCCAGTTCTAAGAGATGGGATATCTCCATTAATTATTATTACCTTTAAGAATGATGGGAGTAATATTGAAACACTGGTCTGATACCTTCACTCAGTATTGCAGAGACCGTTTCCATGGCCTGTTTGAAATTCCCACCTGCTTCTGATGTTTCAGTTCTCTCAGGAAGGAGACCTGGTTTGTTCTCTTGCATTGTATGTTTTGCATTGTGTACACAGTGCCAGGAAATGAGTGTCTTTCTTAACTCACTAGTGAGCCTTCCTGTATGAAGATGAATCTCCCTTGGCTCCTTTGCTGCTGGACTTTTCAAATTAATAACAAGGGGACTGTTAATAACATGTCTATTCTCTAGACAGTGCAAACAGCATGGGGATTAGATTTCAGATCTCAAGGGGCAAGTAAAAAAAGAGGAGAGCATGGCTAAGATCAAAATCCCCATATACTCTCAAACACACATTTTATGCTTTGTGTAGAGCTTGTTGAAGTGGTATGAATTTTTTTGGGAGACAGGAAGGGGTTATTCCAATTTTTCCTTAAATGTGAAATGTTAATAAAAATAAATCACAGAATCATAGAATCATAGAATATCAGGGTTGGAAGGGACCTCAAGAGGTCATCGATTCCAACCCCCTGCTCAAAGCAGGACCAATTCCCAACTAAATCATCCCAGCCATGGCTTTGTCAAGCCAGGCCTTAAAAACCTCCAAGGAAGGAGACTCCACCACCTCCCTAGGTAACGCATTCCAGTGCTTCACCACCCTCCTAGTGAAATAGTGTTTCCTAATATCCAACCTGGACCTCCCCAACTGCAACTTGAGACCATTGCTCTTTGTTCTGTCATCTGCCACCACTGAGAACAGCCGAACTCCATCCTCTTTGGAACCCCCCTTCAGGTAGTTGAAGGCTGCTATCAAATCCCCCCTCATTCTTCTCTTCTGGAGACCAAACAATCCCAGTTCCCTCAGCCTCTCCTCATAAGTCATGTGCTCCAGACCCCTAATCATTTTTGTTGCCCTCCGCTGGACGCTTTCCAATTTTTCCACATCCTTCTTGCAGTGTGGGCCCAAAACTGGACACAGTATTCCAGATGAGGCCTCACCAATGTCGAATAAAGGGGAATGATAACGTTCCTTGATCTGCTGGCAATGCCCCTACTTATACAGCCCCAAATGCTGTTAGCCTTCTTGGCAACAAGAGCACACTGTTGACTCATATCCAGCTTCTGGTCCACTGTGACCCCTAGGTCCTTTTCTGCAGAACTGCTACCTAGCCATTTGGTCCCTAGTCTGTAGCAGTGCATGTTCATGAAAAGTTCATCTGATTTTTCCAACTGAAAATCTCAACTTTACCAACATTGGTGAAAAGATTACTAGAAATTTGATGGGGGAAAAGGATGATTTTTCCACACCAATTTGAAATTCTCACCTTTAGTCACTGTCCGAGAGCTAGAGCCACAAAGAGGACATAGACACAACTTTGTTTGTTACTGTGCTATGTCAGCTAGTGGAATCCACAGGCCTGAATTTGTTGTCCAGTCTCACAATACAATGCCTGGGGAGAGATGGCATTAAAAAAACAATATGCTGGCTGTGGCACCACCTAACCAGCCAATGGGAAATGGCCAGGATAGGGGTGTGACCTAAGTCTCCTCCCCAAATTGAGTTAGGTTCCCAAGTCTGGGCTGCCGAGAGGCATTTCGCTCCACTCAGAATTTACAGGCAGCATCTCTCTCCTTGAGTTAAGCTCCTACACCTTTTCTCACAGCACATCAGAAGCAGAAAAGTTTGTAGAATAATAGAATCATAGAAGAATAGGGTTGGACGAGACCTCAAGACGTTATCTAGTCCACCCCCCTGCTCAAAGCAGGACCAACCCCAATTAAATCATCCCAGCCAGGGCTTTGTCAAGCTGGGCCTTAAAAACCTCGAAGGATGGAGATTCCACTTCCTTTCTAGGTAACCCATTCCAGTGCTTCACCACCATCCTAGTGAAATAGTGTTTCCTAATATCTAACCTAGACTTCCCCCACTGCAACTTGAGACCATTGCTCCTTGTTCTGTCATCTGCCATCACTAAGAACAGTCTAGCTCTATCCTCTTTGGATACCCCTTCAGGTAGTTGAAGGCTGCTATCAAATTCACCCTCACTTTTCTCTTCTGCAGATTAAATAAGCCCAGTTGCCTCAGCCTCTCCTAAATCATGCGCCCCAGCCCCCTAATCATTTTTGTTGCCCTCCACTGGATTCTCTCCAATTTGTCCACAGCCTTTCTCTAGTGGTGGGGGGGGGGGGCGGGGCAAAACTGCATACAGTACTCCATATGTGACCTCACCAGTGCCAAACATAGAGGAATAATCACTTCTCTCAATCTGCTGGCAATGCTCCTACTAATGCACCCCAATATGCTGTTAGCCTTCTTGGCAACAAGGGAACACTGTTGACTTATAACCAGCTTCTCATTCACTGTAATCGACAGTTCTGCAGAACTGCCGCTTAGCCAGCCAGTCCCCAGTCTGTAGCAGTGCATGGGATTCTTCTGTCTGAAGTGCAGGACTCTGCACTTGTCCTTGTTGTCATCAGATTTCTTTTGGACCAATTCTCCAATTTGTCTAGGGTACTC